CAAAGGACGCTACTAGGAGCTCCTGGCATCGCTACTAGGAGCAAAGGACGCTACTAGGAGCTCCTGGCATCGCTACTAGGAACAAGGATGAACGAACTTTGGAAATTGCTGTGCCACCTGTGAGAGCGGCACACCACAAGACCCCAGAAGCAACTCGAATGCGTGGAAAGCAGAGTCGACCAAAAACACACGAAACGAACGGGTGCCGAATCCCGCAAAGATTGGCTTTTCTCTCTCTCTCTCTACTTATGTATCGCTTAGAAGTGTTAGAAGCATTGTAAGAACATACATGTTCCAGGCCCCTCGCCCTCGCCACGCCTGAGTGTTCTCTAGTCTGAGGCAGCCAGACTTGCTGGACATTTTGCAACAGCGGCTAGAGATGGCCATCCGAACGCGGCGATTGCTGGGCCTGCCGAAGGCAGGGGTGGATGAGGCATATCGACTGGTCAACGGGGAAGGTGACAACCTCTCAGGACTGAGAGCTGTGCAAGACATTGGCAGTTAGGTCGAATCAGTCATAAGGCCGATAGTTCTAGATCTGTTTAAAGCATTTTCTTTTACTATAGTGATTTATACTTCGTCTCCACATCTACACTTCTCAACCTCTCAGGACTGATCATCGACGTCTACGGCTCGGTGGCGGTGATCCGTGCCGCGGCCGCCTGGGTGGAGCTGCACCGCTCCACCGTGGAAGCGGCGCTGCGCCGGGTGGGACTCGCCGTGGACCGCGTGGTGTGGCGCCGCAGCTCGGCGCATCTGCACCAGGACGGGTGGACGAAGAGGGAGACGGACAGCGACGCGGAAGACGAAGAGGAGGACACCGAGTTCGTGGTGGTGGAAGCGGGCCTCCGGTGTTGGGTGCGCCCGGCAGGAGGGCAAAAGACGGGGTTGTATTTGGATCAGAGGGAGAATCGGAAGCTGATTCGATCCTTGGTGTCACGTCAAGAGGCTCCAAGGGTCCTTGACCTCTGCTGCTATCATGGTGCCTTTGCATTGGCGGCTTTGGCAGGTGGTGCTTCCTCTGTAACAGCTGTTGACTCTTCTGCAGAGGCTTTGCAGATGGCAGAGCGCAATGCACAACTGAATGGATTTGATTCGCTCAAACTGGAGCAGTCGGATGTGGCTTCCTTCATGGAAAGAGCTGCAGAAGAGAAACTCGCCTGGCTGTAACGCCTGCAAGAAAGGACATATGTGATATATGGCATAGATTGACCTAATGCGATTGAATTTCTCCCAAGCACAATGCGATTGAACACCAGCAACTCCAAAGAAGCAAACGAAAGCAATCACAGGAGTAGAGCAAAAAGGACGAGGTGCTGAGGTCTTGTGGGTCTTCTTCAGTTTCTTTTTCTTGAAGCCTTCCAAGCCGGCTCCCAGCCCCCCAGGAAGCAGGAGTATGATGTGATCATTTTGGATCCACCCAAACTGGCACCATCACGGAGGCCTTCAGCCTTCGCCAAAGCTGAGCGGAAGTACATGGCATTGAACGAAGCTGCCATGCGTTTGGTGGATGCACTGAGCGTTCGTTTTGTTGGCTAGGAACCAAGCCTCAAGTTTAACATTCTCTCACAAACTGATCCGTTTCCTTGCAGGAAATGGATCAGATGGATAGGACAGTGACTCAGATTTTCTTAATCACCTCCATAGTGAATCCAGTTGTCAAGACTGAACTTCCAGAATGTTTCAAGGTCAGACTCTTCAGCAGTTTCCAGCCGATCTCGTGGGACCAGGGCCTGACATTCCCCTTCTCACACTCCCTCTGCCCTCACCGTCCCAAATGCCTCCCAGGTTTGGTGCGCCATGATGGGGGTTTGCTCTTGACCTGCACCTGTTCCGCGGCCATGACCCAGTCCGGCCGCTTCGTCGACGTCGCGCGCGCCGCCGCGCAGGCGGCGCGGCGCTCCGTGGCGGTGCTGCGGACGGCGCCGGCGGCGCCGGACCATCCGTGGTCGCCGCTGTGCCCAGAGGCGGCATATCTCACGGCGTTGCTGCTGAGAGTGGAGTGAGAAAAGAAGAGCGACTGCAGTTGCTGGAGCGAGAAGAACGGGGTGCAAACCTGAGAACACGCTCCCCAACGAGAAAAAACGCTCCGAAGAATTAGAGATGCTAGCGTTTACCACGTCTACTGTTTGTGAAGGTTTCCGATTTCCAAGTCTTAATCGAGAAGGTTTTTGGTAAGTCTGGCTTCTTCTGCGGAGAGTTGGATGTGGCAACTGGCGATATCCCAAGAGCAATGCCCCCCGACACAGGAAAAGCTGAAGCTCAAGCCTTTCCTCGCTCAACTCAACTCCCAAGCCAGCGGGAGAAGTTCCTCCAAACACCCTGGATCCTGCCGAAGAGAGAACCCAATTCGGGGTCCCTTTTGCCCAAACCGCCAAGCTCATCCAGACTCTTTGTAAACCCAAACACACCACTTTCGTTTCGCTTCGCGTTTATATATGCATCTCATCATTTGATAAGACTCATTCCGTGCGTTTGCTCCCCCAAAAAGGGTCGGAAGACCGCGCGCGGGGAGGTGACGGGTCCCTGCTTTCCAGCCGTCGAGACGACCTGCACAGGTTCGCGTGTGCCTTGAGTCCCAGCTCTGGTCGGCCGTGGCAAGGCTTCCGACTGCGCGCACTTGAGCGCTGGTGGTTTTGCGTTGAAAGTGAGTTGGATGGTTGGGAGTTCATCATGTTTGGGCTCGCTCGGCCTCGCTGCGATCTTCTGGATTTTGGATCTCAACTTGTTGGAAGGAGATGATTTTGGACAAGGAATCTGCGTAGATCTGAGGGGTGATAAGCATCTGGACTCGAGCACTAGCTGCCAAATTGTGTAAATCTTGGGATAGCTCACGGGTTGCGAGTGAACCATTTAGATCAACCACCAGCCAGAGCTGGAGAAGACCAGGCTCTTGGAATCAGGGATTTCTTGTTCCCGCTATTTGGGGTTCTTGGAAAAGGTGCCTGCGGGCGCCTTGGAGCGGTGCTGGTGCAGGGTGCCGCTACACAGTGCGTGGTTGAGTTTGGCTGCCATCTGGGTCTATGCTGGTGTATTCTTTTCCCAAACAAGAAGACGGCCAGAGGTCTTCCTGAAAAGTCGAGGCTTCCCAACCAACTTCGCTTCGGAGGCTTCTCATCCCCCCCAGGCCCAGTGGCGGTGCTGCTGCTGGCGCTGGCAGCCTTGGGGACCTCCGAGCGTCGTGCTGCGCTGATGCTGGCGCGCTGGACGTGGGATTGGAGACGTGGGTGAGGAGAGCTTTCAATTTGATCCATGTTTTTTTCTGGATTGATACACACAACATATAATTATATATATATATGTATACAGTACATATTTTTGTTGGGAGAACCTTGAGGGACTAGAATCCATACAGTACCTTCTTTTGGATGTGTGGACGTTCCTGGTCCCAGGTGGATGATTTCTTTTTCGGTGACTGTTGCTTTGATCGTTCCAATGCGCCCGTTCTCAGCGTCCTATGGTCAAAGCCCACCCTGATGCTGTGACAGGTGATCCTCCTCTACATGGGCGTTGGGTTTCTTGCTGCCTCAGAGCTGCAGGGGGAGAGGTTAGCTCTGGTGATGAGTGGAAGAAGCAGGAATGTTCAACAGTTCTGGCGTATTGTCTTAGTTCCAAAAGCAAACTGGACGGCTGGGTCGTTCCATTTGGCGACAAACCAATAAACATATCACACCGGAGAGGCACCATGGCAGAAAGGGCTTTGCTGCCGCTGCCCTGTCAAATCGTTTGGGATTTGAGCCAAGAGTTTGGGCTGGGGAGTTGATTCCTTCAACAGCATGGTCGACCAACGTAGACGCTTCAGCAGCTAGGACAGCTAGGATTAAAAACGAACAGATGCAGTAACTGCGGAGACATTGTTCACGGGACAAAAGTATGATCAATGATATTCATCCAAGACTTGTAGTCGACAAATAATATGAAGACCGCGGAACAAGGTCCCCAACTAGGCGATCTGTGGGTTCTGCAAGTCGAGAAAGGAGAGAGAGAGAGAGACCCTGGAAACACAAATTCAATCAAGTTATGTTGAAGAGTGTTTCTGCGAATGGACGAAACAAATCAATCCCTGGAAACACAAACTCAATCAAGTTATGTTCAACATTGACGGTTGGGGGTCAGGGGTTGGCGACAGTTATTGATACAGGGGTTTGAATATTTGGTCCATCTACTGTAGTATAGGAGCGTAGTAGAAGGGACAGTGACATTTGGCCAGTGCTTGGGCGAGTGTCCTTCTTGATCAAGAGTCTTCACTGTCTGTGGCATGATGTCTGCGTTGAGGGCTGTGCACTCTTACCCAACATACAGGCCCAAATCTGGCCTAAGAAAAGAAGTTGAGTCACATTGAGCGTTTGATTTCGAGACCTCCTTTTGACAGTGCAGTGAGTTACAATGTTTATTTTTTTCACTTCATGTTTTTTGGGGGCATTTCTCCCATCGCCGCGCTGGAGTCCCCATTCCCGTCTGAGGATTCTATCGAGGTGGGGATCCGGAGACGGTTTGGGACCCTCTGGAAAACACCCGGAAACACCCCAAAAGACAGGCCTCGGCCTCGCCCTGCAAATGGTGGCGATGTCCGAAATGTTAAAAATTCGACCGTAAGATTTGATCTGGCTTTGGACAATGAGAGCCGACAGAGTTCGACGGAGTTCGAGTTTCGTGCCCAAAAGCAGTTGCCGGGCTATGAACTTTGAAGCAATGAAGTACCAGGTGGAAGATGCGAAATAATGAGAAGGGAAGCGAGGGGTGACAAGGGGAAGGCCTGCAAATGTGGAAAAAACAGCCATCAAGCACTTGGCGAGCCGACTGTGCTTCGGACGGTTGTACTGTAGAGACACAGAGACATAGATGTCTTCAACCATGCAAAACATGTTTCCAATTCATCGGATTGCCCAACCTGGAATTAAGTACAGTCTGCCCGATTCATACATCCCTATCATTCCCTATCTCTTCGTGTGTCATCCCGGTCAGAACCACCACAACCCCGCGATGCAATACACTTCCTTTCTTTGCGTTGTGCAGGTCTATGGGGGCGCCATGGAATTTCAGAAACCCTTAGCGTTACCCTTGGGACCGCTGCCCTTGTGGTTCCTGGCACTTTGGGCCAACTTCGGCTGCGTTGCCCCTCGGAGCGCAGCACACGCGATGGATGGAGAGAGCCAGAAGGGGCCAGTTTCGGTGGTGGTGGCAAGCGATGAGGAAAGGCAGAGTTGGTGACATAGATTTTGCAGTCAAAAGAGGGGAAAGGTCCTGAAATGTGGGAGGATGTTGTGTGTGATAGCTTGAACAGCTTGAACAAGTTACCCAAGTTAGCACGCGAAAAGGGTGAAGATACCAGTTCCAAGACTGAACACATTTTCCAGTCTGGGAAGGTGTTTTCCATTTGTTTCCCTACTCGTGGAAGAAACACATGTTGGAAACAGTGGGCCAATGACCCCGGAGACGGTTTTCGACTATGACGTTGTTTTTGTTCCACCAAATGCCAAACTGGTAGAGAGTGAAAGTTCTTCATCTAACAAGATGGCCCCCACTGGTTGGAGGCAGTTGACCACCTGAACAAAGGTGTGACTTATGCCGCATATTGACGCTACTAGGAGCAAAGGGCATCGCTACTATTTGTTCACAGGGCTCGGCACCCTCGCTCCTGGACGGATCACGATCACCGCCGCCCTTTGACAGCACCCGTCACCATAGGGTGGGGTACAGAAAACCTTTGTACAATCTCTAGATGACACCAACAATGAGTGGAGATTCCAGACGAACCAAAGACTGTAACAACCCACTCAGTGTATTTGTTACACTAGTGATCACTCACTAAGTTTGTTTTGGTGTTGAAAACACTGACAGTATGTGAATAGACACAACCAGGACCAACCAGGACCGGCTCCAGAACCGAACCGACTCTGGGGAACCCGGCGGACCGCACCGGCCGCTCGTTCGATACCTGGCGGACCCAGGCTGAATACCTCCTGCTCTTTCGACCTTACCTGGTGGGAAGGGGAGAAGTCAGTCGGAGAGAGCTCGGTTTACCAGAGATCCAAGGGTTCTACCGGGTCGGTACGTTTGTTTTATTTTGAACTTCTGCATGAGCCAGGTCAGGAGCACTCCAAAATCAATGTCACTATAGTATAGAACCAGACGGTCGTTTCAAGTGTCGGGGATTTAAAGCATGTTCCTTGGAGCGCTCGGCGGAGGGTTTCCTCGCTAAACTCGGATGATTTTCTCCACACGAGGAGGGGCAGGTTAGATGGAATGTTTCACAAGGTGAATGAATTCACGAAGTAACTTACCTACCAAAAAGCAGTTGTCCTCTGGGCCTCTGGGGTCCTTCCTTCTTTTTTGCTAACGAAGGTGTTGACTCCAAGCGTCAACGGATCCACCGGGTTGTGGGGATTGGTGGCTGGGGCAGCAGTTGTGTCTCTATAGAAGATCCATTCTGATTCTCCTACCGAAGTCCGGAGAACTGCACATGACGATCTTCTCCGCAATGATATAGAGAGAATGAGAGAGACTTCGAGCGGCTAGGCCTTCTTTCCTTCCATCAAACATATCTTAAGTTCTGGCAAAGTGCTTCACTGGGATCCACCTGGCGCAGTGCTTCACTTCAGCTTTCCAAGCTCCAGGTGGGCTGCGCCTTCTTGGGCTGCATCTTTGGGCCTTTGGCATATCTCGGTGGAGAAGAGCTGAAGGCCTTGCAAATCCATGGCAGGCCGGTCAAGTCTGGCGGCTGGCGGGTTCGTGTAGAGCTTCTTTCCGCGGAAGTGCAGATGTTTCCCTTTTTTGGGTGCTCCGGAGTTGCTTCGCCTCCCGGGCATCCATTTGGTTGCACTGGACCTTTCGCAAAGGTCTGGCAGGATATGATGCATTTGTCCGCCTCGGATGTGCTCCGAAGCTCCGAACCCCGCGACGATCGACGGCTCGCCTCCACGGGATCGTGCAGGTTTGGCCTTGGCATGGTGGCGCTTGAATGGTCGCTGTGCTTCCCTCTGCTGGTCGCGGTGGCCGACTGGTGCCTGGCACCCAAAGCACTGGCTGCTCACGACTGACAGTGAAACAAAAGCTGAAAGCGAGCGGTGTTTTTCCGAGTGCTGACGAGTTCCTTTCGAAGTGGGTGGCTTTGAGCGAGGATCCCCAGTACATCCACCTCTATTTTCCGATCTTGAGAGCTAGCCTTGAACCTCCCCAAAAGATCGGAAGGAAGCAGTGGCCATACCCTGAGTGACCTTGATACTTTTCACCAGTCCCAACAGACCCACCAGCCCTGGCAAAAGAATTCCTTCCTTCTGGAGGGCATCATGCCCCTTTGGTTTAGGAACTCCACACTTTCGTCTCATCTCGTCGGAGGTCTTGCCTCTTTTGGTTCTCCTGGTAGAACGAATCCAAGCTCCCTGAGAGTCACCCACGGACCGCACGGGTCTCCGCCAGGTCTCACCACCGAAATCGAAGAAGGCCACGGCACTCATTGTCCGGGTGCCCAGTGGCAGCACCACCAGCGCCCCGTGGCTGGAAGGTGAAAACCAAACACCATCAAACACCCCAAAACAAACGCTCCAAGGTGTTGGCTTTCTCCTTTTTCATTCGTTTTCATCCCTTTTCATCCTTTGGGCAGATCAACTAGAGTGTCCCAGTTTAGATCCACAACTACGCAGGTCTACGCTTCTTCACATCCACCAGGGTCGAAGTGAGTGAAGATGGAACTGCTATTCACTCACTGCCTTTTGGTAGCTAATGGCTGGAACACCAAGCCTTCAAGTGACGGCATACCAAAAGCGAACCTGGCTTCTCTCCTGTCCGAGTTGCTTTCTACGTTCATCTGGACGTTCGGTGCCATGATGCGAACCGGGGCGCTCCAGGAGCCCTTGGCGAGCACGTCCGAAAAAAGTACCGTCGCTGGCACAGATGCCGAGAGCTCAGTGGCTATTTCTTGCCCAGAGTGTGAATTCACAAGAGGATATATATATATATATAGGTATTTCATGGTATTTCTGTCACCAATCAACCCGAACTACCCCACACAGCTTGCACCATTCATTGAACCCTTTTGAAGGAGCAGCTGTGTATTCCTTGATGTGATCCAAATGAATCCAACTACAGCAAGATGCTGTCAACCGGACCGCGCACATTATGACGCACGCAGTGGGGTGCACAGGGCAGCGAGATGTACACATACCTATGCTGTCTTGCTGTACACCCATGCTACTAGGGTGGAGGCCATCGCTGTATGTTGCCTTTTTGTAAGGAGAAAAAGAGGGTGGCTGCCAGGGGCCTTGGCTGGGACAGGGCTGGGGATGGAAGACTTGGTCAGTCCATGATGGCAATCCATGAAATGGCATGAGTTCTCAATATCTCGCCGTTGAAGCTTGTGTGTTTGGTTCAAAGAACACACTACACATTTCAGGCAACAGACCGACTCAGCAGAGCGCCTGGCTGCAGAAATACTGGAGAAAATCCCATAGATAAAGCATGCTAAAGCAACAGCTTATAACTTATATAGCATGATGAATGGCCCCAAATTGTACAGAAAATGATGTATCATCCTTGAACCGAACCTCTAGGTCTATAGCTCTTCGCTTCCCAAAACTGACATGAACATGTTTTGAGAGCAGATGTTGGAACCCCGATGCCCTTTTCGATTTCTTCACTCACCTGACACCAGATTCCACCCCGAAGACGCGTCGCGGCCGAGAGTTCGAGTTGATGATGAAGAGAGGTTAACATATTCCAAGAGTGGGAGTGTCCGTCTCTATTAGTCTATTTGTTTGCGAGGCAGAAAATTGGGAATCGGAGAAATCCAGCACTCTGACCCCATCCACCGGTTCTGTGGATGGGTTCCAGACGACGAAAAAGACCTTCTTTTAATGCATTCCAAAAATGTCAAGAGAGAGGTCTATCCATAGCGAGGAATGTTTCCAATGGAACACTTCTTTTAACACATCTTTGCCATGGATCGGTAAATTCCAAGGATTCCAACGATTTTACTTTTTGCACCTCGACTTCTCCCTGTTTAGCGCTGTTGTTCGGGTTTGGGGCTCCCCTCAGGCACTTCCGTGGTAAAAGGCGGTAAACATCGAACACATGTTTACCGTTTTGCATGAGTCCCTCACCTACGGATTCTACCGAAAGTTGCGGTAAAAACGGTGCAAATCGAACCTGGTCTTTTTGACCGTGTTCTCAACCAAATTTTGACGCATCTCAGCGGTAAACATGGTACTGTAGACATCAAAAGTTGTGCTTGAACCGCATACAAAAAGACAATATCTTTGTTGTTTTCTCATCTAACATTTGTTCAATCTCCGCAATAAACATGGTAAACATCGAACATATTCTGAGTTGCCACATTGCCCGAGTTCCTCGACTATGAAGGGTATCGAAAGGGATGGTAAAATGGTAAAACTCGATCTTCTATTTGTACATTTCTTTATACACGGGGCGTGCGAGAGGGTACCTCCCAGTAAAACAACGCGTGCACAGCAGCTTAGACTCCTCGGAATCGACCCATCAAACTTCCTTGTCAAACCCACTGAGGAGATACCTGGGATCCCCAAGGTAGCCAGACGTGTTGAGCCGTGATCACTTTTAGATTCTTTTATTTTGCAGGGGCACTCATGGATTTGTTCAGATCCAGATGTTCAAACCTGTTCTTGTTTATCTGGCGCAGACGACGAAATATCATACTGTGGATAGCATGGCAGAGCGGTCATTTTTGCCGCAGAACACAGGGTCCTCTTGCCCAGCTTGATGTGGAACGCGAACGGTACACTTCTCGATTGAGACGTGTTTTGGTCAAAGGAGTCCAATGCCTGATTCACATCGCTCCTAAATTTTGTTGACCAAAAACGTCCATTTTTGGAGCTCTTTGGCCCCAAATTCAAATAGGGTCCAACACGCGTTTCTCATTGTTTTTCTTAAGAAGGTAGAGGGGCCCTTTTTAGTAAGAGAGTCCGAAATCATGATTTCGCCTGGAACCCACCGGACCTGTCCTTTTGTAGCCATCATGTCGTTCTTCAAGATCGTCAGATCGATGGCAGTTCTTTTGTCCTCGATGTGGGCCGCCACATTCTTTGACTTGCTCAGGTTGTCGAACAAGGATCTGGAGTCAGTTACGGTGATGAAAGGTGTTTTGCTGATCTGTTCTTGCCAGTTCAGCAGGTCCATTCGAAGTCCTTTGATTTCAGACCAAAGGAACCGCATCCAATAGGATGCTCCAACTCCTTGAACCATAGCTTGGGCTTCAGCAGCTAGAGTGTTTACCGTACATCTCTTCAACTTGTAGCTCTTCCAACTCAATATTGAGATTGGTTGGGGTGATTGTTCAACTTCAAGTGCCTTGTCGTAGGCATAGATGATGTGCCCGCCTTGGCTGTGAGTGCGGCCAACCTGAAGAAACTTTTCGTGAATCTCGATCTTGTTTTTCTTTCCCCTCTTTTTCATGAAAACGGTGTGCCCTTTCCATTCTGCTTCTCCATGTTTTCGGAAATCCTGTCGTCTGTTCCATGTGTCTTCAAAGAGTTCACCATCTACCCAGGTTGCTCTTTCGGCCTCTGGGTCATGGAGTTGGGGTCCATTGGGATCAGCTCCAGGATGAAATAGTAAGTGTCGGGGTTGAACATGATGACGAATCCAAAGATCACCTCGTTCTTCCCAAAAATCTCTGCTCTTCTCTTCCAACTCCTTGCAAGGTGTATTTCCCCAGCTGGCATCTGATGCGGATCCAATTTGAAGGTCCTTGGCCGGGATCGGCGCGATGATGATGCCCGCATCAACTTCTTGGATCGCTTCTTGTGCTAAGGCGTTTGCCTCGATCATGTCTCTGACATACGGTTTGGGCATGCATTGTTGAAGTATGCATACTCGTCCCATCAAGTCTGGCCTGGTTTCCTTGGCCAGCCATGCTAGTGAACCCAATAGAGCTCGAAGAGCGGAGACTTCTTGGTCGGTGCAAAGGTTGTATTTCTGGGTTTTCCGCTCCTTGGTGATGTCCATCGTCTTGATCTTTTCCTTGACGTACATGTTCTGATGGACCTTGATATATCCGTCGGGGAGGCACTTGATCTCCTTACCAACAAATCTTCCATCTCCTTTGGCGAATTTTCCCAACTTGTAGTGTTGTTGGATCCATTTCATCTTCTCCCAATGCTCTTCTCCTCCTCCATGGAGTAGATCATCTGTTGCCACTCCAATGATTCCCATGAGCTTTCTTTCTTGATTTCCATCTCGAGCTGGATATTCCGATTCCTCGAATAAGAAGAAGAGGCATGGATCTGCTTGAGATTGTTCATATCCCAAGTTCACTAGAGTTCGTTGAAGATGTTTGTACCATTGATAGGGCCCATCTAACAGTCCGTAGCAGTGTTTTTTTAGTCGTAGTAATTGGCGACTTTGTACTCCCGGTAGTCCTTCTGGAGGAAGTTCGGCATAAAGCAACCTGGATATCTCATCTCCGCTGTGAAAAGCCTGGGTGAAGTCCAAGTATCCAGGTTCCCATTTTCGGGAGCAGATCGCCTGTAGGACCAGTAGGACTGTTTCTGGTGCCACTTGTGGAGTTGCTGCGTCAAGCCATTCTGAGTCAGGTTCACTGAAGCCTTTCATCACGTGTCGAGCTTTTGCTTTGAAACCACCGTGTTCATCTTCTCGAAGTAGCAGCTCCTCGTTTTGAATGGCTTCGACTTCATCTGGTTCAATTCTCTTTTCAACCAGGACGTATCTGGATTGTAGGATGTTGTGTCCTGCTCGACGAATCTCTTCTGATTCCTCTGGTGAGATGATCTCATATGCTCCCGTGGAGATGTTGTTGTTGACTTCCTTTTGAATCGCCTTGAGAAATTTCTCTCGTGCTGCGCATAGGAGGTCCTTCAACTTTATCTCATGGGAACCTTTTTGTTTTCGAATTTCAGGTACCAAGGTCTGATACATGACCTCCACCCAGTCGATGCGTTGTCTTTTGTTGTTTCCTGACTCTTCAGCTTCATCTGACTCTTCTTCCATTCTTCGCACTTGTCCTCTATTTCTTTCGTTTTCATCTTCATGTCTTGCTTTCTTCTCTTGC